ATAGTCTGAAAGAGTGAAGAGGAAAACAAATGGTATTATTGTGGGGATTTAATATGCCACCCCCACAGTATTACTGTAATGCAGTAAAGGAGAAAGTATGGTATATTCATCGTAAATACATGTAAAACCTGATGGTAACCATGCACTTTCTAAAAACAATTTGAGCCTTTAATGCACGATCTGGGTTATCTGGGTGGAGTCCTACTCACGGCTGCAGGAGATGCCACATGCATTCTTGGATTGTGGGGTCTTTCCATCCTCGCACCACCAGCGACTGTTTATCTGGAAAATCCCATAATCCGTGGATCCATCCGAGTTGTGATTGATGGCTGTAGTGTTGTAAGTGGACTCCCACTTTGACAAGCACACCCCTGAGAAGATATTAACCCAGGGCACACATTACAGTCTTGATATGCTGCAGTTAGACACACTGGAGAATCCACTCAGCCAAGATTCAGATGAAGCTACAATTTTCCAGAAGCTACAGCTTCAGAAAGTTAAACACACGCTGCACACTGACAAGAGTAAGTTACAGATTGATGGGAGTTATATTCTATAGGTTCAATCTTACCCTTGTATTTTACCATTAAAATATTAAAGGTTGTATCAGTGATATTGTTATCACTTAAATGTATTTTTAAAAGTAAGCTCATAGAGTGGTGGAGCAGGAGAGAGGTGGATTCATGCTCCTCTCCTCTGGCTGCAGAGAAACTCTTCACTCCCTCACAGGTGACAGGGGTGAAATCAGAAATCTGCCAGAAAGAGAAGCCTTTCCAGGGCTTAAAGATATCTGTCTGTGCCATTTCAGTTATCACCAATACACTAAGCAAGGCAATGATCACATCCAGTGACCTGTACATTAAAGAGAATTTCAATGTTTTTGTTTAAAAATAGTTTTGAAGAATCTTTCTTCATTTAAAAATCTCCAAATTGGAGCCCAACCTGAAAGACCTTAGTACATAAGGGGTGGTGCTCAGTACTCACAGTTTGGCAGGCTGTATCCCCAGTACCCATCCAGTCCTGAAGCCTTCAGTTCTCTTGCCAGCTCACACCGTTCATATACCTTGCAGTTCGCCAAGGCAAAGAGCAGACAGAACACAAAACTCTTCATTTTGAATACAGCACACACGACTCTCTGAATCGCTGTTCTTGTTACTCGGGTATAAATAGACTTCAGAAGAAGGCCTTAAAGGAAATGCTGATACTTTTACCTTTTCTCGTAAACTGGTCTGGTGGAATTTCAACTTCCCCTTTAAGGATGTGTGAAGAAGAAATGAAAAAGAAGAACTGATATACCACATAAAAAACAAGTTAATATCTTTTTTTTGCCATATTTCAAAACAGAAGTTAATAAAGCACAGGTCAGATTCATCCCCATCAATAATGACAGAATATCATATCAGTATCAGTATCAATACTGCAATACTGATTTAAACAATGCTGTCCTATTGTTCACTTTTTAATGTTAATTAGATTAATGTTAATCTGGTGCAGCTGCATGTTTCGGTTGGTCATAGTTTTGTCATTTTTAAGTTGACACTAGTTTTGTACTTTAAATAACACATTTGTATGTAAACCGGGTGATCAGAGCCTGCATTTTTGAGTTGCAGTAGTCAGTTTTACAATATCTGGTGATGTGGAATAAAGCAATGTGAGGTCATTTTTGTCAGATGTAGATTGTAGGTCCTTTTAACATTTAAACCATGGAATAGGTTCTCAACATTAAGCAGTACCCTTTATTTCAATAGCTCTACCTTTCACCCTTAACAACAAACTATTTGTACTGATAGCTACATAATAATGATCAAATCTGTAATACAGATGTTTTAGCAATCCAAAAAACTTAAAAATATCTATTAGTGTTTCCAAACACTATAGTTTCCAGCTGTGTCAGATTTGCTAGACCTTGTTTTGTACTCTACAGCAAAAATAAGTGGAAAAACAAGTATTTGTACGCAATACATAAAGTCCTTTATCAGGTAATGCTGACCTTGTAATTCATACTAATTATTAATTCACCTAATCCACACCTAATCCACACCTGTTGATATAGTATATGATGAAGTATGAACTGGAAGCTAGATTGCACAACATGTTGGCATCTGGAGTGGTGCAGTAGTCTGGAGAAACATCCTTTTCTGGCACCTTAAAAACAACAGAACCCTCAGGACCTGGATCCTGATGATGGTGATCAAAACAACATGAAGTCAATAACTAACAGCCAGCAATAAATAAACACTAGCACAATATCAGAAAACCACACATTGAGAACAGCTTATATGCTAAACTTTCAGGAACTTGAGTTTATTTGTTCTCTTGGAGGGACTACAAATGATTGGTTTGGTGTTTATATTCTTGTGAGTGACTCAGATCTTCAACCAATTTAGCCTGGGGTGTTATCTGAGTTTGTATGTTCTCCCCATGTCTGTGTGGAATTCCTCTGGATGCTCTGGTTTCATCCTACAATCCAAAGACATAGGTTAATTGGTTGAAACTCAGCCCTAGTGTGAAAATGTATGTACTGTATGTCTGTGCCTGTATTTGCCCTTTGATTGACTGAGGTCTCCTCTAGTGTGCTCCACCTTGTTTGTCCCCTTTGCTTGCTGGGATAGGCTCTGGCTTCCCAGTGACCCAAATTGGATGAAACTCTTAGAAAATGGAAGTCAAAGAGAGAAGATTCTGGTGGGCAAACTTCATGCAACCATAGATCAGTGAAGGATGATGTTCTAAATAAGACTAATTAGGAGAAGGGAGAGTGAATCAGTTCTCCAAACTTTAGTGTTAACATGTGGCTGACAGTGCAGACATGATTTTTTTAATCAGTACCCTGACACACACCATCATTCCTAACGCTCTCTTCCACACTTATAGCCTGAACCATTCCACTCTGTTCTGTGTACCTGGAGTAGACGGTAAACAAAAAAGCAAGCAAGAGTTGGGCCTGCCCACCACTATCTTAAGAAGAAGGCTTTGTAGAAAAAACTGACACACGCTGTGTACACAAAAATGCTCAAATTATGTTTAACTACAGTAAAACGGTGAGATTCTTATTGGCTGTTCTATTTTTTTCCCTGTCTCTTTGGCCCTCCTGTTCAGGCAGAGCAGATATGTGTTATCAGTGTTCCCTTACACTGTGTACTTCCAGGATAAGTTCCAGCCATGTGGCTTAGTGATAACGGACAGACTTTTTAATCAAAACATTGTCAGGAAAGAGACAATACAAGAAACAAATGGAAAGTAGAATTGCACAATACAATACAGACTGTGTTCGGCAATGTATTTCCCGTTGGCACAACGGCAGTTATTTTTCAAGGGTAAGGAACTGGTGAACAGGTGTTTTTCAAGATGGAATGTCCACAGAAAGCAGGTAATAAAAACTGCCCCTTATTGTTTTCTGTATTTGGAATGAAAAGTACATCCACATTTCCTCTTACACTTTTTATCACTAAAGATGGTCAAGCTCTTTAAGCTCTTTTTATAATGAGTGTGATTGTATAAATGTTTTTTACAGTACCTGTAACAGGGGTGCCATATAAAAGGCTGACCCTGCGCTCTGACCCCAAGCTTCTCTCCCTGTCTGTGTGTCTCATGGAGAGCAAGTTGGGGTATGCGAAAGGACAAATTCCTAATACAAGAAATTGTATATGGCCAATAAAGTGATCTTATCTCACCTTCCATTGTTATTAAAACACTGTGAATGTACACTGCAGGTGAAACATTAGCAAAACACAGAGAAAGAAAATGAAGAAAATATTCCTCTAATGTCCCTTGTTGCTAATAATGTATTGTCCCTGATTTCATCTCCTTTTTATAAAGTATCAAGCACATCCAGAAGGAAGCAGCTGTAATTATTAATGATATTAATATGTTATTAATTTGGCAGTATGCTTTGTCATACTTTGGTCTTAAAAGAAATGTGAGCCTGGTGTGTCCTTTCTGTAGGAACATTGATTATGAGTATGGAAGGATGTTTCTTGTGTGCATGTCATCTAAAAATGAATCTTTGAGTGGAGACCTTGAGACTGAATTACCTTACTTTCTTTAAACACATTTTTGTATACTGTTGGCATTCATTTTATCTCTACAAAGTTTCACAGAATTTGTTGTTATCAAGATACTGTGATATAATTGTCAGAAATAGTGACAAATAGAAATTGGATATCTGCCTGTGTGTTTAGGAAGCTGGTCCAATACATGTTTTGCTAATCTGTATAGTTTATCATTGTTTTAGGTGTTACTCACACAGTGGTTGCCTTTGGAACTAAAAATCAGCTATTCCGAGGGGAAGCAAAGACTGGAAAATATTCTTACTTTTGAGCTGTATCCTGCTCATAAGATACCAAACATCCCTGCAGTCTTTTTCAGATTACGTTCACCAGTATAACTAATTGACAGATACAAGTATCCCTTTGATCAATATCACTAAGCAATGTATTCCATTATACTTTCTTCACTGCAATATTTAAAGAGAAGGGGATTCTTGTCAAAACAGGAACCCATGTTCATTTATGTCTGCTTGTATGATTTAAGGGAGAATTCAGGTTTAAATACCTTGATAGCCTTTTATATAAGTTTACAAATTACACAATAGGCATAACTGCGATGAAAGTATCCTTTTATTTAGGTTTAGAATGCTACAGGAAGCAGTTCTACCATCAATGGAATAGACTGTATGGCTGGCTCACACTCCACAGCCAGCAGTGTACTGGCTAAGATCTCTTCCTTGACAACGGTTACGCCAGGCCACCCTGGAAAGAAA